CTTCTTGCTTCACTAACACACCTGTTATTGCAGTCTCTGTACGCCTTATACTTTGCATTGCATTTCTTGTCTGCTACATATGAGTCCCATAGAATCTTTTTCTGTTTTGTCAACTCAACAACGGAAGCATTTATCCAGGGTTTATTTAGATTTTTCTTTTTTCTACCATATTGAGAGGAGCATGTCGGTTTAAAACAATTTCCACTTCATCCTTCAGGGCTATCCATTGTTCATCTACTGATTTTCCAGTCATGATTACATAGTGTGTTTTTGAGCTTTGCATTAACAGTCTCATAGTTTATTTTATGTAAAGCATGTCTAAATAATCCTTGCGCTGAAGGGCTTGAGATGAGGTATTGAATTTGGAATTCAATTACACAGTGGTCACTTTTACCAATTGGAGCTGAGTTGGTAATGCCTGAGATAAGATCTTTCTCATTTGTCATTACCAAATCCAGTAGTGAGGGAATATTTCCGGATTGATAGCGGGTTGGCTCGGTGACAAGTTGACATAGAGCTGAGTCAAAGTAGAATTTTTGAAAGAGCTGAGCTGAGTCATACAAGCTCTGATTATAAGAAAGAGGCCAAACAATGTCCCTGTAGTTAAAATCCCCAACTATGACTATGGTGTTGTGTGCAGATGCAGTACTTAAGTTTTCATATAGTATTTTGTCCTTAATATTCCATTTGTTGTCATTGTCCGCTCTGTATATAACCACTATCACAGGAAGTGATGTGATTTTAGTTGAATATCAAGATATAATGCTTCTGTCAATTCACTCATGTATGCACTATTTTTTTTTTACAACTATTGGTTTATTATTAATGAATTTCCGTACATAAACTGCTACACCACCACCTCTTGATTTTCCTATCTAATCTGTTAAGTGTGTAACCTGGAATCGAAATGCTGGCTCCCTTGTCTATGCTTTTGAGCCAAGTCTCTGTAAGTAAAACAAATGTAGTGTTTTTTGTTTGTATTTCAATAAGCAGTAAGTTAAACTTGGTATTCAGAGACCAGATGTTAGTGTATAAAAATGTGAGTGTAGCGTACGGGTTGTTAGTGATTAGTTGTTTTGTTTTATAATTTTGGGTTCTCCCTTGACATATTTGATTGTGATGTCCGTTTCACCCTTCTCTTGCCTAGCTAGCAGTTCGGTACGCAGAGCCTGTAGGACCTCTCTTTGTTTTGGTGTTTGGTCACAGTAGATTTGCAACGGCTTGCTCAACTTTTTTTGTTTTGAAGTGCCTCGACAGCTACCCACCGAGACTTAAACACTACTTTGTGCAAACGAGTCTTGCCTGTTTCTCTTTTCCCTAGCCTTATAATTTTAAGCACATCACTTGGGGATATTTCGTCGTTTAGATTACTAATAATATTGTTCACCACACTTTCATCATGTTTCTGGCGTATTTGCACATCTTCCGCCTCAGATTCCTTGGTGCCCGCGATCAAAACATTGCACGCTCGGCGCTCCCGCTCACGTATTTCCGCTATAACATCAGACGTGACGGTTTTTGAAGCAGAAGTGGCGTCAGTTAGGCCAGATTTCGATGCCAATTCCGGTCGCAACTGCTGTACTTCATCCCGCAATGCATCAACAGCTTTTATCAAAATCGATACTTGAAACAGCCCCTGGCGACATGGTATGCATAGGAATAGCATTGTACGTTTGGTTTTTAGGCCCATTACTTTAATTTCACTGCTAGTAAGTCCACTACAAGTTAAACACAAGTGTCGTTTACACCCATCACATTGCACTGCATCGTCCATATTTACACTTTTTACACACTGATAACACTTCGTAATAGACATGTTCGCGAAGTTTGAATGTAAATACACAGTGAATATTGATTTTTAATCGAAATTTAGAGTAGGAGAAATTCACCAACACAACTGTTCACTTTGAAGGTAGACAGAGAAAAAAAGACATATTTTCTACATATCATATATATCTTGACGTTTATGACTTTTTTTTTAAATACTAGTAATGCTATTAAGCATTACTAATATTCCCTTAAACTACTACTGGTAAGCTTAAAATGCTTATGTTAGAAGTGGTTCACGACAGTAGTCGAATGGCGGATTTGAACCCACGACCTTTCGAGTTCGCGGTCCGCGCCTTGCCAGTAGGCTCATTTTCTTTTCTTATAGAAATGTATGATTATGTCTGTCTGGACCCTTATAAATAATAGTGTGAGACCATACAAAAGATGATTACTTTTTCTTATACTTGGTAGACCCATGCTGCAGCTATATTAGTAGTGTAGTTCTAGCACGAATGGGTCGGCTCGACCGGAGAAGGACTACTATTGTCACAGAATACCAGCGTATAATAGCAGCTTGACGCTTTTGTGTTTTGTATGGTGAGTGTAGTGAACTAAGACCCTTTTTACTGGAATCGGGCATTCCATCTTAGTCCTCATAGGTGACAACACATCTGCATTTATATATAATCGAGGATAGATGCAGATGTCTATGGGCCACAACAACCACTTACCATCAGGTGGACTGTGTGCTCGTTTGTCACCCTTTGTAGCTCAGGGGCTAAGATTACAATTTTAAGTGCTGATTTGCCACATGCTCGGCGGTGAAGGAAAATATTGTGAGGAAACCTGCATGTCTGAGATATAAGATTTTTTTCCCCGAAGACGTGTGAAGTTCGCCAAAACGCATTGTGGCAGCGCAGTGGACATTTCCTTGCCCTAAAACCCTTTGAGAAATGAGAGGAGGACTGTGCCCAGCAGTGGGCTGTATATAACCTGTAACTATAAATTTTTGTTAAACTAGAAGACATTGTAATTATTATTGTAGAAGTAATAGCGTACATATGTATCTGTTGATGAATTTCTATCCACCTCTGATGTATTCTATTCCTCAGGGATCCATACTCGGATGTGTCCTCTTCCTTATTTACATCAATGACCTCCCCAAGATTATTGATGAGCTTTGTGTGATGTTTGCCGACGATTTTTCCGTTGTGTTCCCTTATATCATTGGTACCAAACTTAATGAAAGAATCGACATAATTATAAACAAAGTAAAACAATGGCTAAGCGATCATGATTTAAAAGTCAATTTCAAAAATACTAAATTAATACAATTCAGACCACGACAAAAACATGAACGAGACATAAATTATACATATAATCGAACAAAATTTGAATGTGTTCAAAATTTTTCTTTGCTAGGTATATTATATAGATTCGAATGTTAATTTTAAATCGCATATTCAAAAAAATAACTTAAAATTATCACAATTTATATATGCTTTAAGAGAATTTAAAAAATCTACAAATTTAAAAATGGCAGTGACAGTGGCCTACGCTCATAGATCCTACGCTCAAGCGTCGCTAAACTGCGGCGTCATACTGTGGGGCAACAGTGTAGAATCACACAAACTTTTTATTTTACAAAAAAAAATGGTTACGCGTACTTGCAAATATCATACAAAGAGAAAGCTGCAAACCTCACTTTCAAAGTCTCAACATTCTAACATCAAGACATCCAAATTTTTACACCAAAATCATAGACGAGCTCCGACACAACATACCTCCCTATAAGAATAACCTTTTGCAAACAAAATCTAAATTAAAATTACACAGTACAGGTCCTTACCCGATGTCAATAAAAATTTATAATAAATTGCCGGAATACATAAAAGCCGAAACAAATATTAATAAATTCATAAGATCTTTAAAAGATATACTTATTAAAAAAAGTTATTAATCAATTAATGAATACATTGAAGAAAAGAATTTTTAAGTGTCTGCCCCTCTCCTGTTCATTGCTATGCCTTTTGAGGTGCATGTGATTGTTAGAACTTGCATGTTTTTGTTTAGTCACTAAGGGACATGTAACGCAATTTGTGAATAAATAAATAAATATTTTATAAGTGGTACTGCCATGCTGCAGCTATATTAGTAGTATAGTTGTAGCACGAATGGGTAGGCTCGACTGGGGAAGGACCACGCTCTCACAGAATACCAGCGTCAAATAGGAGCTTCATGCTGCTGTGTTTCGTATGGTGAGTGTAAAGAACCGGAGACCCTTTTTACGGGAAAAGAGGCATTCTATCTTAGTCCTCACGGGTGACAACGCATCTGCATTTTGATTCGTAAACGAAGATAACTGTAGATGTCTATGGGCTATAGCAACCACTTACCATCAGGTGGACTGTGTGCTCGTTTGTCACCCTATCTTATAAAAAAAAATATCTATGGTGGAGGCCTATGTTCATCAGTGAATGTTTATAAGCTGTATTGGAATGGAATGAAATAGTGTATATGTATTTATTGGGTTTTACTCTCAAGAAAATCTATTGCAGCCCAGAGTCAGTAAACTAGCAGAGTTTCAAGCCGTGACTCGGTTAGCATGTAAATCCAGATTCTGCGCCGGATGTCTCTGGTCATGTCTGAGTGCTGTTTCATTGAACTTTGACTGAGAGTTTGGGAATAGAGTGTACCTGTGCATGCTCACACATCTATCTAAGATGACTTATCTTTGTTAATACTAGCCACAAAAACGGAAGTTTGGTCTGGAAGAAATAATTGTATGTTTGTACTACTTCAGCCTAAGGACACAGCCTGTGTGCTTGTTTGTCACCCTTAATTCCATTAAAAAAATATTGAATATGTGTTAGAGCCATACTATAGCTATATTATGTTTGTAGCACGAATGGGTCGGCTCCACCGGGGTAGGACCACGCACTCACAGAATACCAGCGTAAAATAGCAGCTCGTTGCTGCTGTATTTCGTATGGTGAGTGTAGAGAACCGGGGACCCGTTTTACTAAAAAAGAGGAATTTAATCTTTGTCCTCAGGGGTGACAATGAATTCGCATTTTAATACTTAATCGAAGATAGATGTAGATGTCTATGGGCCACAGTATCCACTTACCATCAGGTGGACTGTATGCTCGTTTTTCACCCTTATTCTATAAAATAAAAAACATGATAACCATAGTCCACGTCTCACCGCTTTGGTGTTTTTTTTTTAGTTAGATGTCCTAGAATATATACACAGCAAGGGTTATGTCCATGCTGATATAAAAGGTGCCAATATCCTTCTGGGGCTTAAGAAGGGCACAGAAAACCAGGCATATCTTGTGGATTTTGGGTTGGCTACCAGAGTAAACGACAAGGAATTTAAGCCAGACCCTAAGTGTGCACACAATGGGACCATAGAGTACACAAGCAGAGACGCTCACGCAGGAGGTAAGTGGGACAAATTATTGTTTTATATAGTTCTGCTTTAGATTGTTAACATAAAAAAAATAATACTCAATATATTAAAATTGCAGTGGCCACAATGCGTGGCGACTTGGAGATCCTTGGCTACAACATGCTTCAGTGGCTGGTGGGTGAATTGCCTTGGGAGAAATCTCTAAAACAACCTAACACAGTTCAAAACATGAAGGAGGCTTTCATGAAGAATGTACGCACTGAAATCACTAAGAAGTACCCCAATGTACCTGGTATGTTTTATCCTACTGCAGTATAAAAGTAAATTCCACTCATCACAAATTTGCTTTGTTAATATTGACCTCCTGGTTGCACAAGGTTTAAGCGTTTAGTTAGCAATTTGAAGTTATCACGCGAAAAACTTTCCTCCGTTATTTTACAGGAATGGGAATGTAATATTCCTATAAATATTAAGGATTATACCTAAAATATGTAGACAACATATTTTAGTTATACAATATACAATACTTAATAAGGTTGTAACACATATTTTTAAGTAGGTATTAGATTTTTATTAGATAAAGATGAAATAAGTTACCAAAAATATTTTAATAAAGTGAAAGGAATATTCTTTGTTTTATTTCAATACAGAAATAAATAAAAATAAATTACGTAACAAACGGTGTTGTCAAAATCTAATATTTTGCATGCAAATTACAGTGGCATTGCACTGAAAGTTTTTTAAAGCCTTTTAGACAATATTTAATAGAAAGAGAATCAACATAGGATATAAAAGAAAATATCATCTGTTTTGTGTACTATATTATTTATTATCTTAAGCTAAGAATACTAAATTGCCTCCCAAATGTAAAAACTATACCAAGTCACCAATGAGAAAAATAAAATTAGAATACGTGTGTCCCATAGCTGTTTATATTTTATCTTCGTGATTAATTATAACTTTTCATATGTAGTTTATTTCTAAGTAACAAAATATTTTTCATTATTTCAGATGCATTGATCAAGTTCTTTGAATATGTTAACTCTTTAAAACCAAAAGAAGCTGTAGATTATGTAAAATGTCGTCAACTATTTGAAAGTTACCTTAAAAGTGAGGGCAAGACAAAGACTAGTAAACTGGAATTCAAAAATTCAACAAAGCGGAAAGCAAACAATAAGAGACTGAGTATAGCGGATAGTGAGGTTGTTGACGGTGAAGAAACCGATAAAGTAGAGGAAAAGAAAACTACGCCGAAGAGCAGTGCGAAAGGAGTGAGCCACGCCAAGAAAACAGTGAAAGCTGCTGATGAAGCGACTGAAAATTGTGAGAACGAAGAACCTGATGAAGAGAAGAAAGTCAAAAAGCCAAGAAAAAAGGCAATGAAAAGGAAATCATTGGAACCATCACTAGTTATCAAAGTAAAGAAAACTAGAATGACTCCTAAGGCAACGCCTCCTGCTAAGAAGAACCACGCAAACATAGCAACTCAAACATCAGTAGAGAAACTCAGGCGGAGTCCTAGACAGGTGTCTTTTGATAGCCCCATTAGTAAAATTATAGGGAGTAAGTCATTTAATTCCATAAAGGATAATGAGTCTGCTAATTCCAGTGGAGATATATTTGATGATTCATTCACCATTGAAGAGAAAAAAGTTAAACCAAAGAAGAGATTACTATCAGATGAAGAGATAACGGTTAAGAAGGTAGTTAAGAAGAAGGTGATAGTAAAGAAAGGTAAATCATGGAAGGACAGTCCCACTGTTGTAAATGGTAGATCACCACCGAAGTCATCTTAGTATGTATGAATTTTTGTTTTTACGTAAGTACAGTAAGGGAGATATTTTTACACACTTACTATTTTATGTGTTATTTGGCAGTACAGGATAATAGGAATGTTTACGATTGCTTAGCCTTGTGTTTAAAGTACCTGGTTACTGTATTGCAGGCTCTATTTTTGAAACCACCATACTTACTTCTGTAATGTTGTCGATTTAAACTGACTATTTTCTGAATTTAATTTGATAAAAGGTTTCTCCCGTACCAGTTCAAGTTGAGAAACACAAGCGAAGTTTAATCAAGCGTTATCAGCGCCGTCAGGCACAATCGGATATTCCTATCTAAAGATAATATTTTCATAAATTAAAAATAAAAACTCGCATTTTTAAATATTTTTATTGCATAAGTAGGACAGTATTACCTTATTAATGGGTAAGTGGCCGCCTCCACGAACGAGAGAATCGCCACGAGACCGCGCTCCTATCTTCGGGTAGTCTCCACGAATGAGCGATTATTCCGACCGCGTGTCGTCGCGACTCGTAACGGAATCGCCACGTTTCTGCGACACGAGGCGTTATGTAATAGTTTTGCGCACTGTTAAACGCGAGCGGCCTTTACATCTATTAGTATTAAAAATCAGTTCAATTCCTGGTGATCTATAAGTATTTATTAATTAAAAGTTATATTCATTAATTCATTTGCATACCACTGTAGAAATTATAGGTTTAAATAACTAAAAACATTGTTTAAATTTCTTATGTGTGTTAAACAATCTCCCGTACCAACATGCCATAGTCTACCTAACTTATCGTTAGGCACAAATAAATATCATAAAAATACCTAAATCAGATTCTGATATTGGTTAACTGTCAAGTAGTTTTAGTTTCGTCGCTTTATTGTACCACAGATGAACATTAGTATAATGTGGGCCATTAAAGACTAGAGTCATAAATGGACAGCGTAATTACAATTTGTTTATTTTTGATCATACTATTCGAATTATTTTGTGTTTGTTTCATTGTTTGCAACTAAATACAATTAAATTAATTTTGATTTATATTTTAACTTCAATTTAATATGTGAGTGAGTTGGAATAATTTGGCATGCTAATATATATTTATATATACAGAGTTATTTTGCAATAACCGGCCAAATTTGCGGAAAAGGTTCAGAATAAGTAATATAGTCAAATGGTGAAGAAAAATGCATTAAAAAAATCTCAATAATTGTCTTTTTTACCTTTTAAATTCAAAATGAGTGGTAATGCATTATTTAACTAATTTTACTGCGCACGTACACATTCGTAAGGGTTGATCAGTAAGCAAAAACATTGTCCATAAATATTTGGGATAATTTCAAATAAAAGTAGAAGCCTTATTTTCTCGTATTTTCAATTTCTATTACGGTATATCAATACTTATATGTTTAACTTAAGTTTAAAATTTGGCTACTCTGAAAAATAACCCTGTATAGCATTAGCATAACAATTAGTACCAATGTAAGGAATCACTTTTGACATCAAAATCATATTCTTGCATATTAATTCTAACTTCACAGTCATATTCACAAAAAATTACAAAAATATTATCGAACTAAAACTCTACGCAAGAGTCCCAAATCTGTAAACATTCATGTATATTGCATGTCTCACATTTCTTACAAAACCTTGCTCTGAGCAAAGTACCTCTTGTAACATAGATGAATGTTATGTGGACATCAAAAATACTGTCATTTAATGTTGTTATTGTATAATTTGAACTGTAATTTTTTCTACTGTTAGTAAGTCCTAGAATTAAGAAAGACATGTGTGTCTTTAATCAGGTTATGTTACAAATTAGTGTTATAGTTATGGAATATTATAAACAAAAAATAAAGTTTTTGTTTAAACAGTTAACCAGTTGCTTTGTGTACATTGAATAAAACTGTACAGCACCCGAAACGTCGGGAATTAAAAGAAAACGCGATAAAATCCGTAAACATGTTTTATTCAGTTGCTTTGTAATTATGTTAAAATATGAGACGATTTCTTTCTTGGCTATTATTACTGGTATGGAGTAATATTTTAAATTTGAATGAATTATAAGATTTGTAAAACTCATTTCTTGGTTTAATATGTCAAACTTTTTGTATATTTATTTGTAATTATTACTTGTTTTAAACTTTGCGTTATGATTTCACAAGCTAAGCGCGTGTTTTTAATCATCTAACATAATATGTAAACAAAAGAATATGTCAATTGATTAATTCAATAAGAAGTAATATTAATAATAAGATCTTTATTAACTAATGTCTCAAGCTTTCGACTCAAATTGGAGAATTTGTGCTCAAAATCAGAATCTGATTTTTAACTCAATAGATATAGTGTACACTTGTTTGGGCTTGTTGTTTGTCTTATATCAAATACATTTTAAATATTTCTTCAATTAGTTTTTAATCTAATTTTATAATTGCATTATCAATTGTCATAAATAAGAATGGAAATCAAGTCACAAATACATTATTTATTATTGCAAATCTCACTGTAAACACATGTCCATCCATGTCATACTCAACCATGAGATTTTAATAATTTGTAATATATGAAAGTACACTAGCATATATAACCATTACATTTTTAAATGATTCGCGTTGTTGTGATTTCATTGTTGAATGAAGTGAATCAAATTGTTGATTTGTCGAAATTATTAGCGGGGTACCTTGTACTAGTGTTCCTGCGGTGCGTATGAATGTGTCGCCACACAACAAATTTCGTATGTATATTTTGCTCATAAGGAATTTGTTTCGTGTCGGCTTTGACGTTGAAAAATAAAGATTTTGTAATATTCTAAATAGTTTTTGTTTTATTTAGATTAAGGATGACTTTCGAGCAGTTCACCTTATGATAAGTGGATCTGTTGCTCAGACATCTACATATATCCTCAGTTAAGAATCAAAATGCAGATGAGGAGTTAAGATTGAATGCCCACCAGCATTGAACTGCTATTTCACGCTGGTATTCATGACAGCGTGGTCCTTCAACGGTCGGGCCGACCTATTCGTGCCACAGCTACAGCCATAACCATGGCTCGGAAACCGGTTCAAATTCTTAACCGGTTTCGGTCATTGTCCCCGAAACCGGTTTTTGCGGATTACCGGTTTTCACAAATTTAGGTTTAGGTAGTAAGAATTAACCGGTTAAAACCAAGTTTTGTAATGCCCCCCTCTCCCTTACCTCGCTTGCACCCACTTTGTACGGCTGCCCTCTGTTTAATTCACGAGGTTTTTAGACACACGTAGAGGTACGATATATTCATTGCATCAACGCGACTGCCTTGTAACGTACTCCCTCATATTTTTTCATCTTTCAGCAACGATCGTATTATAAATAACAGATGTAAGTTCTGTTTCAATTAATTAATGCGTTATCTTCACTTTAAAATTAAGTTTCGATATCAAGTTTAATTTGACCTTATATATTTAAATTGACTTTAATTATATTTAATGTTTTCTATTAAAATTACGCTTTGCATCTTTAATTTAATGTCATTAGTTTTAGTAATGTATCGCAATAAATGATGAACTTTCTTAACAGAACACGATATTTTTAAAAGTTTATGATATTATATGTTATAATATTTGTTCTTTTTAGGACTAAAGTGAGGCAGATTACCAGATTTTTTTTAAATTCAGAAGCTAGTGATTAGGACCAACCTCTATCTCCGTCTTTGCAAAATCAATATTGACCACTTCTGATGTGTAAAGTTAACTAGAAGTCATGTCTAAACACGATAAAAAATAGTTTGTTATGTTCACAGAGTTCTAACAAAAGAAATTACCATTTTTTACATCTCATTAATGAGGAATTGGAGCAAATCTTATCATGTTGTATACGTACAAGATGCTACTAAAAATATTAGCTTTTCTAAATAGAGTGCAAAGTAACCATATAGATACTCGTAAAATTAATTTTACTGATACTGAAATTAATAAAGAAAAATAATTTGAATCTAAAAATGATTAAATTCGGCTATACTTTTCTGTCGACTGTAACCAAATACATACACTAAAAAATCCTGTCTTTAATTTAAAGTAATTATTAATAACTCCCAATTAAGTAGATAATCAGTATAAATCACACTGATATCTACGATCATGTATTGAATTATAAAAGAGAATGATTAAAAGTGCAGCCAAGTTTTCTCACGCCTCAAGATCAAAATAATAAAGTACCTAATCACTTTGGAATTTTTTACAAACTTTCATACTTTACGAATATGGAACTATTCAAATAAATAAAATTGAAGTGTTTGTTCGTAACGTCAAAATAACAGATTTTTACTAAATACATATTATGAAAGTATATTTGTAGCGGACAGCGAGGAGGCCGCCGCCCCTTCACACCCCGGTGCGCCCCGCGCACCCCGCACACCGGCAGCAGATCACGCGATGTCGCCGACCAATGAGCGCGCGGCATCTCGGACGACGCTACGCACGACCCGAGACGCTCTCCGGCGAGATATAAGAAGGGCGTCTCGGACGGTGAGCTGTTCATTTCGGAAGCGGCACTCGACGAGAAGAAGACAGCAAGAGAAACCAAGAAAATCAAGACTCAAGAAGACTCCTCTCTATATAATAGTTTAATTGATAGTGCCACGTTTGTAATAGTTAGAATACAGTATAGTTCGACAGTACCATCTTTTCTTTGAGCAGTTGCCCCCTAGCGTACCCCCCCCCCCCAATAATACAGTCCACTGCGATCCATAACAATATTATATAGACAAATTAAAATTTTGTATGTCTGTTTGTTCCGGCTAATCTCCGAGATAGCTGGACCGATTTCGACGTGCCTTTATCTGGTCCGATTGCTGACTGCCTTCGTTGGTCTAGTGGTTACTATCGCGACTGTGGATCATGATTTGGTCCTGGGTTTGAATCCCGGGTCGTGCCATGTACCATTATTGGATTAGTTTGGGTATAATGATAGTGTTCTAGAAACCACCTTGATAGTCTTATTACAGCCCTTAAGCACTTAGTTTAGTTT